CCTATTGCCTTTAAATTGGTTTCAATGGTTCTTGAGCCAGAAACTTAAGCAGCTTGGGCATGGGACAGCACTCTGTTGCCCTCTGCTGGCCAGAAACTGCACAAAACATCGTTGGCGGTACGAGTAGGAGCGCTAATGGGAGCATCCATCAATAGAATGTTTGCTTTTTTTTGTTGCCGGCATAGTGGAGCCTGCAAATAAGAGGAAGAGTAACATAGTTAAAGGTGAAGCAAAGAAAGTCTGGACGTGACAATGAACTCAAACCAGAGCAAACGTCGGTGCGGCCTACACTCGTTAGTTTCAGTTTCAAACCATCTCAAAAAGCAGCAAGATCCAATTTTTTTATTCTAAAATGCCAGTAATTATAACTTCGTGAAAATGTGCAAAATACGACAACTTGTCCGACGGCACTATTGACTGCATGGCCTGCAGAACGATTTACGGCAGTTGTAATTCTGCTTTCAACCAGTAGGGGGAAGACGTGGGAAACTTATTAAGTCCGGGATCACATCTTTTAATAGGCTCATCAGGACAGTTGGAATTGGGTCTTAGCTGTGTTTGAATAGTTCATCCTGTGGTTTTTGTGGACCCAAATTTGCTTTTGCATAAATTTTGCTGGCCAGAATCTCATGACATCATGAGCATAAGAACTGAACCGCAGAGCAGTTTTTGTACACCATCTGGATCACTTCCAGCATCAGGATGCATTATGGGTAAACATCAGCTGTTGGGGTCAGATGCCTCCACATTAGTTGGTTTGTCTACCTTCTATAATTCACCACCTCCTTGCCTCAGACACCTCCACGATGTTCCTCTCCATCCTGTTTTCCAAAAGGGGGTTTGACATATAAACACACTGATTATACCTCCTCTAATCAACCCAAGGGGAATGCTTTGTAGTCCGACCGCTTTGTGAAAAGTCGTCCATCTAACCTAATGTCATGTTTGTCATTGATGGACGTCGGTTCTTTTGCTGCGGGGACTTTTATATGCCTGTTTTCCCTCCTCAGCCATCCCACGCTTGTACACAGTGGAGCGGAGAGGCCCCAGAACGGGGTGGGTGGGTGGGGGTTGTCATTAGAGATAATCCACCATAATTATAGATGGTTATGATGTTGACGAAAGTGATCCTGGCTGATTAATGTCTGTTTACATACAGAAAGAGACAACAAACCAGGTTGAACATGATTCAGATTTAATCTCACTCTGGTCTGAGACTCTGGTCGGGTCTTTAAATTGTGGATTTCTTTTTGGCATCAGTGACAACTGAAGCTGGATTAGAAATTATTTAATTATTAAAGAACATTTTCTTGCTGGCTTGTGACACTAGATGACCTCTTAAGTCTTTAATCCAAAACACTTCCTGAATTTGATATGTGCGTCTTATAGTGCTGCTTTGTTTCACAAATCTTGATGGGGGGGTTTTTGCATCATAGTTGTGTTCAGAGATATCCTGGTGTCTGTCACTTTGTGTGTAGTAATACATTTAACAGGCCCAAGCTACTGCCCAAGTAGCCCAAGCTACTGCTAACATTTGCCCAGCCTGCTAGCTCTCTTGTTGGCCAAAATGAAAACAACAACAACAAAAAAACATGTTGGCGCACCACTCATGTTCCAGGATGTACTGGGAATACCCAGTCTTTGAATGAATGCCAGACAGATCCATAGCTTGTGAACCGTCCTTTTTTACTTTGTCCCTTGCTCGTCCATACTCCTGCACCAGGGGGTTTAAGGTTGGGTTTGACCATTTCTAAGGGCTTCTGGATCATTGTGAACCCCAACAAAGTTTCATATGTAAACGGGGGTTATGGTTAGGGTAAAGAGAACTCTTCTGACCCTTCTGGCTCTTTCCCGGAGCTCAGGGATGGATTACACTGCGCTGTGAATGCACAGACTCATATACAGGTGCTGGCCAGTAAATTAGAATATCATCAAAAGGTTGAAAATATTTCAGTAATTCCATTCAAAACGTGAAACTTGTACATTATATTCATGCAATGCACACAGACCAATGTATTTCCAATGTTCATTACATTTAAATTTGATATTTATAGGTGACAACCAATGAAAACATCAAATCTGGTATCTCAGAAAATTAGAATATTCTAAAGGCCAATGAAAAAATGTTTGTTTCTCTAATGTTGGCCAACTGAAAAGAATGAACATGAAAAGAATGTGCATGTATAGCACTCAATACTTAGTCGGGGCTCCTTTTGCCTCAATAACTGCAGTAATGCGGCGTGGCATGGACTCGATCAGTCTGTGGCACTGCTCAGGTGTTATGAGAGCCCAGGTTGCTCTGATAGTCGTCTTCAGCTCCTCTGCATTGTTGGGTCTAGCGTATTGCATCCTCCGCTTCACAATACCCCATAGATTTTCTATGGGGTTAAGGTCAGGCGAGTTTGCTGGCCAATCAAGGACAGGGATACCATGGTCCTTGAACCAGGTGCTGGTGGTTTTGGCACTGTGTGCAGGTGCCAAGTCCTGTTGAAAGGTGAAG